CTCGGGCCTGCCAGCCCCATAGCAGACTTATGCATGAGGTGTGCCATGAATTTTAACCCAGAAAAAAGTATCAGACATACAACTCAGAGATCAAAAACTTGGGAAATGCTAGTCTAGTGGTACAGTGGAGTTACAGAAGGGATAGATTTGACCCTCACTGTTTACAAATGGGATTTGTCTCCCTTGCAAGGTTACTAGGCAAAACCCATTTGTAAACGCTTGGTGAGTCAAAATGTGTAAGACAAACCTGTGAGATGGCAGGCAGGGTAGATGTAAGCAAACCTGTGAGATGGCAGGCAGGGTAGAAATGCCCTTGCCAGACTAAATCAGAAATGCATAAGCTTTTGTGAGTTGGAGCTCACTTTGTTTCATTTCACTGTTAGATGGATTCACAGTGAAACCCAAACCATGTAAAACTTGCATGGTCTCAAGCTGGGTTAGACACCTGCAAACATAGGTCATGCCTTCTGAAAAATTTGTGTCTCTAGGTCAGTTTCATATTTTTTAATTAAAATCATACAGCTATGGTGTGATTTAAACAAGACAATGAGTAAGTTCCTTTATTTATACAGTTTTGCTTTGAGATATAGGATTCTTTGACCCTGAAAACTAAGGTATTCATAGTTTTGTGAAGGTTGAAACTGAAGAAAATTACTTGCCCCCCTTTTCTAAAACAAAAAAAAAAGTGAGGTGGAAATGTAACATGCTGGCTGGCTTTGTGGATGTGTGGAGCTATACTTCAGTTGCTGGCCCAGAGAGAAGGATATGGGTCATAATGGTACAGGAAGTCAAGGAAATTCAGTTTTAAGTCAGATGGTAAAGGATCACATTTTAACAGTTGAAGGACTGGGGTTTTTAGTACTAGGTCCTTCTGTATTTGTGCATTGTATCAGTGGTTCACAAACTGTGGTCTGCAGATGTCTGGTCAACCAGGAGCCCAGGGTAAGCAGTCTATAGATTGCACCAGTCCCTGCCTGCTTTTAGAAGGTTCAATGAGAAGTTTGATGGTGAGAGTGGATCGTGGACCACAAAAAAATTCTGATGGCTGACGTGGGTATATTGGTCCAAAAAGTTTGGGAACCTCTGTTTTATACAATACATCAGTTTCACTCAGCTCCACAAAGAAATTGGTGAGTTAAAAAGAAAACTCCATTTAATACTCATCGTCGTCTTCAAAATCTTCCCCTGCAGTAGCAGCTGCCAGTGCTGCAAGAGCTTCTGCTACTTCTGCATCTTCCTCCTCAATTTCCCCATTTACTTCTTCACAGTTAATGTTCTTTGCTTCTCTTGTTGCTCTCATGAAGCTCACAGATATGATCCCATCAGGCATGTCCTCTGGGAAATATACATTTACAGACTCAGTTTTCATAGCTTTGTCTAATGAAGCAGAGCTGTCTTTCACAAGTGCAGACAAGGATAAGTCCTTTTCCTTATTTATCCCTACAGAATCTGCTTTTTCATCAGAATGTGTACATTTGTCCAAAAAAATATCATTTTTAACATCATAGTAATGACTTGTTTGGCTGTTATTTTGAGCATAATCAAGGTCTGCTAATTGTATGGCATCATTTTGTGTCTCCAGTATTGCACTTTCAGTGAGAAAAATGTTTTCTACTGTGGACTGTGAGTTCTTATCTTGAATACTGTCTGGCTTTACACAGGCTGGCTTCCCATGATGGCCTGTTTCCAGATTACGTTCTTTGCCAGGCTTATTTGGTTGAGAAAGTCCTTTGGTGTAGAAGTCTCTTGTAGTATTGGCTGAAGAAGACTCTTCTTGCTGGGTGGAATTTCCATGTGTGCTTGTTTCTTTCATTTGGTTTGTACTGGGATTGGGAATGGAATGCACCCCCCCAGTACAGGAACTGACACCATTGACAGCAACACCAGAATTTGCAACATAGTTCCCTAACCCATCCTCTTGAAGAGCAGGTCCTCCAGGATTCCAGAGGGCATCTTTTGTGCTATTTAACCTGTTTTTATTTTCTATTCTCTTTATATCATAATTCTGCAGTTTAGTTTTGGACACTTGAATTTCACTATTTTGTTTGCATATGAATTTATTGCTATTTTGCTCATCTTGTTTGTATCTGTTTATTTCATTGATATATCCAGATGACTGTGCTTCTTCTGGATCAAAAATGTAGCTAGAGAAATAAGAATTGTTAAAAGATTATTAATTGATATTTCCTTTAAATGATAGAAATTGAGAAGGGATTACATCCAACTCAAGATTCATGAGAGTAAATTAATATCACTATAACTCCTGTAGTGTGCACTAAACATAAACATGATTAACTGTTGTCATTCCCAAGACTGAACAGTATAGGACAACTGGGGCTCAATCTTTTTTTCACCTTTACACATCCGAGGGGCACTTACATAGCTGGGTGGCTGCAATTTTTTACTCCAAGTCACAGCTTAGATTCTACTTGCCATTGTATAGCTATATAGGCAGTCCTTGACTTACAACTGTTTGAATTACAACAAATGGCACCTGCAACCTTCATAAATTACAAAACAGTTTTGAGGTTCCGATGGGATTTTGACTTTATGACACTGGACACAGCTGCCTTCAGCTTGTAAGTCTGTTGTGGTGGGGCATGGGGGAGGAGATCAATGCTCCCGCAGTGAGGGAAGGATTGGGGCTGGTGCTGGGACAGGGACAGGGACAGGGGCTGCCCAGTGGGCTGCACCAGGCTGCACTCTGGACCAGTGGCAGAAGGCATTGAGAATGGGGGCTATGTTCTCCTGCTGCTTGCCCAGCTGGGGCGGGTGGAGCTGCTGTGCTACCTCTGGACAAGTGGTGTGCAGCTGCCAGAGCTGCCCTGGCCTCCTTGCACCTCCTGGCCCTGCCCTGCCCCAGCTGGGTGATTGGCAGCAGGGCACGGTTGGGGGTGGGGCATATGCCCTTGGATCTGGGTGAGGTGGGGTGGGTAGGGCTGGGGCTGCACTGAGCTGCGCTCCAAGTGGGTGGCAGGGGCTACGGTGAATTTTACGGTGGCTGCAGCCCCCCCATAGCCCCCGTTCCTCCGCCTGCCCCACACACTCCCCCCCGCCTCCCCCATGCCCTGCTGCTGCCACCACTGCTGTGGTCCAGCCAGGGCAGGGTAAAGCCATGGCTTGTCCTGGAGGCACAGGGAGGCTGGGTGGCTCCAGCCACTGCATGCCACTTATCCATAGGCAGTGCAGCAGCTCCATCCCACCCTGGCTAGGCCAGCAGCTGGAGGGCATAGATCCCACTCCCAGCACCTTCCACTGCCCACCCAGAGTGCAGCCTGGTGCAGCCCTGGCCTCTCCCACTCCATGCAGATCCAGGGGCACATGCCCCCCCATGCCCTTCCAGACAGGTGGCAGGAGCAGCAGGAAGAGTCACTGGACAAGCAGCTCCCAGACTCATGGCCCACAGCAGCAGGAGCCACCCACTCCCTCCCCGTGCCCCACCACCCTGGCTGGGCCTCCCATGCCCCAGCCTCAGACCCAATTCCTCCCTTGCTGTGGGGGCATTGATCTGCCTCTCCACCACAACACTCTTACCAGCTGTAGGCAGCTGTGCTGAGATTGGTAAATGAACTAATCCCTCATTTATACCATTGATCCTATAGGGAAATTGGTTCCAAGTTACAGTATTTCGATCTAAGATGCAGTTTTCAGGAACCAACTGCGTCATAAGTCTGAAGGCTGCCTGTACTCACCCTATGCTTCCCTTCTGAGCATACTTCCAAAGTTGCTCTCTCTCTCTTCTCCAGGACTGAATAGAATAATTCAGACACATATTTAATGTTGGATAACTCCTGAAACTTGAGTTTTAAAAGTCATGAAGGGGTGAGTTGTCTTTCCACTTCTTCTTCTAGAAACCATTTGGGTACCTGCCTAGGAAGTGGGAGAACAGATTCTAGGCCCCTTCTCCAGAGGAAGTTTGAAATCATATCCTCTAATTCCCAGCTAGGTGCTCTAACCACCAAACCATGGGGAAGGTATTGTTCAGAGCACCTTCCAGTTCTCTTCTGGAAACTAGTCTCCTAGTCAGCAAGGAGTGAAAGATATGTGGGTCCAGAAGGGGAGAGCAAACCAGAGAGAGGATGGCTCAGTATTAGAGAAGGAACTCAGTGCCCAGGTCTGCCTCCAACGTGGGAGTAACTATCTCACTGCTCTTTACAATTTTTTCCAGTGAATGTTGAACACAAGGTGCAGAAAAGCACCCCTTTGATCATTAGGGCTGTGTGAAATTTTGCTGGCCGTTTCATTTCGACACTGTTTCAACTCATTTCAAGGTTGAAACAGCAAAATCAAAGTGAAACAAAGGGCACTGAAATAGCCAGCTGGGCTGACTTCCAATCCATGGCACAAGATCCGGCAGGGGGATCTAGCGTGGGGGGTGGGAAAGCAGCCCAGCTGGGCTGATTCTCCACCCCTGGCTGGGGTTGGGACCTCAGACCAGCTGGCCTGAGTTCCTTTCCCCAGCCCCATGGTCAGGCAAAACATCAAAACAGCCTCACTGTTTTGACAGTGGAATGGCCTCTGGCAGGGACGATGCCACTCCCCACACAACAGGGAATGGGCAGAAAGCGAACACCAGGAGGAAGAAATGCCGGGTCTTCGTCATCAGAGACTCCATCCTACGAGGACTGGAAGGTCCCATTTGCTGGCCCGACCCCTGGACATGAAAAGTCTGCTTCATGTCAGGAAAGCTAAGGCGGACATAGAGCTAAGACTAGCGTCCAAGATCAAGGATAATAAAAAGTCCTTTTTCAAATACATAGGGAGGATGAAGAAAGCATTGGCTAATGTGGGGCCTCTGCAAAGTATGCTGGGCAATCTGGTGGTTGTGCCAGAGGAGAAATCGGACCTCTTTAACCAATTCTTCACCTCCATTTTCTTGTGCAGGGACTGGGACTTCCCCGCTGTGATGCCAGATGGACTCGAGGGGAACGCCTCCAGACCTCAGGTTGGGGAGGACCAGGTTAGAGAGCTTCTGGAGGGGCTGGACGTGTTCAAGTCAGCGGGTCCAAATGCTCTCCACCCCAGGGTGTTGAGGGAGCTAGCTGGGGTTATTGCAGGGCCCTTGGCACGGCTTTACGAGCACTTGTGGTGCTCGGGCCAGGTGCCAGATGACTGGAAGATAGCTAACGTGGTCCCCAGCTTCAAAAAAGGGAAGAGAGAGGATCCGGGCAACTATAGGCCCGTCAGTCTTACCTCTATCCTTGGGAAACTCTTTGAGAAGATCCTCAAGGAGCACATCTGCAATGTGCCGGCCTCAGGGATGATGCTCAAGGGCAACCAGCACGGTTTCATTAGGGGCAGGTCATGTCAGACCAACCTGATTGCCTTTTATGATCAGGTCACAAAGGCAATGGATGCAGGTGTCGCC